TCCTCTACAAAGATAGAGTAATATACACACAACTAACTGCTTCTGGGCAAGTAACAAGAGAAAGCTTTATGGAAAACCGCCGACAACCAGTTAGATTTGATTGTAATGAAAACACTGAACTCACCTAATTGTTACTTCCTATTTATACCTATCCCACCAGTGGCGTGACCAAGGTAGTATGCTCCTCCGAGAGCGTCCCCTCAGGGAACATAGTCCCATCGGTCACTTACTGTAATAAGTGCCGTTTTGCGTATAGTCGCAACACCTGGTATCTGACAACAGATATCAATTGTTTAGACTAACTGAAAAACTTCAACACATAGTACTGGTTTGGAATTCAATCTTTTTACATGAAGTAGCTATATGATATCTGTACAGGAAGAAAAGATGAAAAAAGTGGAGGAAACAATGCTAGTTAGTAATCGTCTCTTCTATATGAACGACTTGAAACTTTTTGCCAGTGGTACGAATCAGTTTCGTAAGTTTTTAGATATTCCAAGGTCAATCTGTTCGGCACTGAGATTAGGACTAAACTTAGACAAGTAAACGCTGCTGCATCTTACTTAAGCTGACCTGAATATTTTTGTTGCGAAGTTTTTTAACCTAATTTTCAACCAGTGTTTTGTCTACTTTCAGACTAGACTACTCCAAGTAACAAAAAAGCAGCTACTAAAAAGTAAGTCAAAAGAAAGAAGACTAAATAATAGTTAGCAAAAAGTAAATCTGTCTTTTCTGTCTGCATGGCAAGATTTTTATCATTTTCAACCAAAAATTGTCGTTTGCTGATACATTTGTGAAGTGATCTACAGAGGTGTCTCAGAGGACAAAACAAGATTAGTGTAGCAGATAAACAGTGTTAAAATTAGAACTTTTACAATGAAATATATACAGAAATTAATTTATCAAATACCAGAAAGAAATAAAATGTTGTTTTTGCTTTTGCTAAAACTGGATATTTTTGGAATATATATTTTTTATAATGCATTACATTACTATAAGATTTTACTCAACTGCTCTATTGGTTTACTGTTTTGTCAAATTTTCTTCTCTAGTTCACAGTTGTAATTGTTAAAACTCTCTTTTTTTTGTAATTTATATTGTTTCTTTTTACTTCTTCTATGTTTTCTAACAGTTCAATTTTCTAGGATATTTAATAAACGATTAATGCCAATTATTGTATACAGTTGTTCCACGTTCGCTATTTTAAAGTCTGTGAATATTAAAGACAGATAAAATGTAATTGACAACTGCTGAATTGTATCAACAAAACAGTTTTCAGTGACAATTTTTCACTGATCAAGTCATCTGATATCAATTTAAAACAAAATGCAAATATCCAAAAACTATGTACTTCTTTATGCATTTTTCAATGCTCTTGTTGCTGTAGCGAATTCTGCAGACAGAAATTATGAAGAAAATTTGTGGCTGCAAACATCGAATAAGCAACTTTCTGAAAATTGCAAAAGTGCTATTAAAAAAGTAAGTTGATAAACCAGTGAAATTTGAATAATAAAAAGAGAAACGTTTGAATTAAAAAAAGATTATTAATAAATTTATTAGTTAATTTGGTTGGTTTAACCAAATTTTATCATACAATCATAAAAATCAATCGTCTATTCAATAGATTATTACTTCAATTTGCATTGTCTGTTATCGCCTCTGTTATCACTGTTATCGGTATCAATCTTTTTTGAAAAATTAATAAATTAAATTTCACTTTAAGATAACTGTCTCTGTCAAATAAGCACTTTAAAAAGTTTTATTCTTTTAGCACATAAATAGTCTGTATCTGCGAATTTATTAGCACTTTAATTAAGCATTGTCTAGTTTTTATAGGTTTTTGTTCAGTAATTGGAAACAAAAAAAAATTAAAAAATGAAGATAATTTTGAGATGTAATAGGTTAACAGTTTTTGCAAAAACACAATCGAGGTACAAAATTCTCGCAATTATTAAAGCTGTTTAGTTGACTGTTTTTCTTTTTTGGATTGATACTGCTTCTTCGCTTTTCAGTTCAATAATCATATCGATTTGTTCGGAAACAGAAGCGAAGTTGAACAAATTTTGCAGCATTTTTTCGGTTCTGGATTCAGAAATGAATTAGTTAGCGATGATCGTTTTGTAAGTTGTTGGGCGTTTTTTTTTACGTTCATTTAAAGCTTAAAACATTTTTTTCTTTAGAAGAAAACGAATTGGCTGTTAATTAAAACAATGAAAGGTTTTGACTACCCACAGAATTAAAGCCTAATTTTTTTTTGTCGAAGCAATATTTTTTGCTTTTACAGTTATATCGTATGTTACAATGCTTCAAATTTGCTGGCGATACACCATATTCAGTATCTGAGCATACGCTTCACTACTGTTACGGATATAACACTCAGCGACACAATTCGTCAGCATACAGCATTTGCATTCCATCACCATGCGCTGAAGACAATCTTACAGTAAGTTGGTATTATTCAGTCGAGTTTTCTTTTTTTAATTCTATCACTGATAATTTTTTATACTTTTCAAAAAACTTTTTGGAATTGGTAGTGAATGCATTCTGAAATATCCATGTTTAAAAATATCTAAAATTTTAACGAACCTGAACGATATAACCTACAGTAATGTGCTAGTTTTATCGTTGTTTAAAGCAAGAATAATTGAAGCTGTTGGAAAATTGGAAAACCATAACAACTCTAAGCAAAGATGAAGTTCCAATTAATGAAACAAAATGTATACGGTCACGGTCCAAAACCCAGTGGTATCAAGAACCATTGCCAATTATATGCCTTCTATATATCGTCTGCCTGCTGCTTATCGTATCCCTAACTACAGTTTACCATTATCATCGAGGCGATAATCCAAAGTAACTGAATTTTCAATGTGTTCATCTGAATAAAATTTTGTTTGAAACTAAAATTCAAATACAACAGCGGTCAAAAGTATAATGTCATATTTGAATGAGAGAAAATTTTTGGTATTTAAGACAGTAATAGCAGAAGAGCAACAAGGAAAGAATTTTAATGAAGAAAAATATTACTGATAGTTCCGCAAAGTTCTATCATGCATTTGATCGCTGTTTTGAAAAATCTGTGACTTTTAATAGGCTTTCTTTCCGGTAACATGAAGCTTTTTACACTTTTCAATGAGTTATCGCTTTTGTTGATTGAAAATCATGCTATTGCACTTTTCCAATTAATTTAACATTTTCTTTTCTGCTTCCTTGCTTTTTTTTTCATTCAAACCTATAATCGTAGCAGACAGATTTTTCAATATTGGTGGGAACAATTCTTATATTGTTCGCAAAGTTATATAAAAATAAGCTCTTCTATTAAATTTTTCTGCTCCAGAAGTATTTTGTTCTACAGTTACCGGATTCTAAGATTTACCTCATCAAATTCAAAAAAAAACCCCATAGCATATTTGAGCTTTCAAAGATGTTCGAAGTTTTCCTAAGCAGCTAATCAGCACAAGATAGTGTTGATAAGGCTGTTATAAAAATGATGTATTCACCCAGTATAAGATTTACAAGAAGAAACGTCAAAAAAAAGAAAATGAAAACTAAAATTGTAACACTGGTCTCTTCACCGCCGCTTTTTCTGGTCTTTCGTTGTTTTCCAGTCGTTCTTAAAGAATATTACATATATTAAATAAAATATTTACACTGCCTTACCCACTGTTAATGGTATTTGTTTCAGACGTCTGTCGGGAAAATTGCTTCTTGCATTTTCGGCAAAAAAAAACTTACCAAAGTTGTTGAAGCCACCATCGAGCAATAGGACAATGATAACATGCATGTATGGGATACGATTTTTGACGATCATCTGGATAATTATTGGGCATTCATTAGCCTGGGTTGAAGTT